CTTTTGGCCTACTGCTTCCGTCATCCGTTTTTTTTATTTTCTTCCGTTTCCTTTCGCCTTTTCTTCTGTTTTTAAAATAAGGAAGGTCCCAACCCTTGTAAGTAATAACAAAATTTCTTCTTCAAACATAAAAACATTGTTTAAAAGCTTACTACAAATTGGTTCGTTTAACGTTCTTCCATAAACAATTTGAAGAATGTCTTGAATGAAAAGAGTGTTGTAAAGAGTTTGAGAACAATTTAGTATTATCACTACTACAACAAAAACTTTTCGAGAATGGAGAAAGAGAAGGATTTAAAATTTTCCCCGAAATTCCAGAAAAACTTTTACAATTTTCTTCTTCATTTTTAAAATTTTTATTATTAAATATTGGACGTTGTAAAAGGGGAAATGTTCTAAATTTTGTTGATTTTTTATTTTTATTTTGAATTTTGGTTAGAAGGGAGTGGGCAATGCCTATTGTATGCCAAGATGATGAAGGTAGACAAGTTGTTGAAATATTTAAGTTTAGTGAATTTTTGTTGTTAATTTTTTCATTTTCGTGTTCCTCTTCTGAATCCTCCTCAGAAAATTTTCCACAAGATGAAAATGCTCAAAAATTCAAATTGAGAAAATGCTAAAAAAAATAGGCTAAAATGAATTAATAACTTAAGAAATATTATTATGAGACTGATAAAAAATAGAAAAAAATTGAATTAATGTCTCACGAATGGAGAAAGGAGTTAAAAATAAACTTGAGTCATTTATCATTAGCTTATGTAGAAACGTGCTAGACCGATCCAGATATGATAAAAATCAGAATATTTGGAAAATTTGGATTCTGATAATGAATCGGAATAAACGAGGATTAGCAATGATCCTGGTAATAGTTCGGATGAGACCCCCCTCCTTTTTCCATCCTTAAAATAATAAAAAATGGTCAGTCTGTTATCAGATTATAGAACCCGTCGAGCTGTGTCGAATGACACCAAAAACAACCCCAGGTCTTAACTTTGGGCCGAGATACAGACCCCTGAAAATTGAAAAATAACAGGGTAGACCAAGCTCATTTTTTGGGATAAAAATTCGATTATACAAATAATAGATTCGAAAGAGCTTGTCGAGCTGATTCGAATGACATCAAAATCAACATAATTGAACAAGATTTGACAAAGTTATGACATAAAGTAATCCTATTGTAGTCGTGAGACGCTTTTGCAAAACCTTTCTCTTTGCGGAGGGCTTTTGTCTGTATCTCGGCCCAAAGTTAAGACCAGGGGTTGAATTTGTGTCATTCGACACAGCTCGACAAGTTCTATAACTTAAGTCTGACTGACCATTTTTTAATAATTTTAGAAAGGAAAAAAGAGGGGGGGGGGTCTCATCCGAACTATTACCATGATCCTTAAACAGGAGAAGCGGTAAAATATATGAAATTGTGATTAAACAAAGGAGTTAAATGAATCAGAAAATTTTAGGATACACCTTGAACTTGCACAAGAAGAATGAACAAAAGGAACGATTTGTTGCTCGTTATTAGACTTGAACAAAGACTTGAACAAGGACTTGAACAAGGATTTATTATTAGACTTGAACAAGGATTTAAAATTTTCCCCGAAATTTCAGAAAAACTTTTACAATTTTCTTCTTCATTTTTAAAATTTTTATTATTAAATATTGGACGTTGTAAAAGGGGAAATGTTCTAAATTTTGTTGATTTTTTATTTTTATTTTGAATTTTGGTTAGAAGGGAGTGGGCAATGCCTATTGTATGCCAAGATGATGAAGGTAAACAAGTTGGTGAAATATTCAAGTTTAGTGAATTTTTGTTGCTAATTTTGTTATTTTCGTGTTCATCTTCTGAATCCTCTTCAGAAAATTTTCCACAAGATGAAAGTGTTTCTCTTAAAAATTAAAATTGAAAAAAGGGTAAAAGGAGTTAAAAATAAACTTGAGTCATTTATCATTAGCTTATGTAGAAACGTGGCTAGACTGTTCAAGATATGATAAAAATCAGAATATTTGGAAAATTTGGATTCTGATAATGGATCAGGATAAACGAGGATTAACAGTAATCCTTAAACAGGAGAAACGTGTAAAATATGTGAAATTAGGATTAAACAAAGAAGTTAAATGAATCAGAAAATTTTAGAATACACCTTGAACTTGCACAAGAAGAATAAACAAAAGGAACGATTTGTGCTCGTTATTAGCCTTGAACAATTGTTTTTCTTTATTTTTACTATTTAATAATTTTTTGTTTTATTTTTTGAATAAATTCCAAAATTTGAAGATCGTCCAATAAATAAAGGGATTTTTGAAGTGTTGTTAGTTGATGGTGATTTTTGTTGTAAATTTTTAAATGAATAAATACATCGAATTTAGGCACATGTTTAAGCCCATAAATGATTGATTAAAGAAACAGAGGTTTAATTGCTTCTCCATCCCCACGAGTAACAACCTTAATCGCCTTAAAATATTCCCAAATCTCTTTTCTCCCCAGTTTGTTCATTTTCTGCTTCCACCTCCACCAATTATTCCCTCTCCAACAAGGCCTCTTGCTTTTGGATAATTTGGTTGAAGGGGAATTGGAATACGTCCAGAAATTGCTGGACTGCTTGGTGCTCTTTGTACAATTGTTGTTCCAATTTTTCCTTCTAAAGAGGAGGAGGCACTCGAGGCAGATTCTGCCATTCTTTTGTTGTTTCCTTTTTCGTTGTTTTTGTTTAAAATTAAATTGTTGTTGTTGCTGCTGAACACGCTGAAATCTAATACATAGACAGACCTACTAAATGTAAGAATTAAATGAGTAAATGTGAACTGCGGTCACAATGTGAAGGAGCTGTCTAAGCAATATTCCTCATTATAATATAAATCACGTCACAAGATAAAATAAAATCGCCTTTTAAGGAGGTTTATCTGGCATTGGATATGTCTCTAATTGTTTTTAAAATGTTCTTAAATATTTGTTGGGATTTTAGCAAATATTCATCTCTAGGAAGCATGCCTTAATTAATAAATAATAATTCTGTTTTAATAGAGAGATGTGTAAATAATAAAATTAAGTTCTGTGAAGTCAGTTTTCAACAAACTTAAGTTTATAGATAATATATTCATTTCTGTCTGGTTTTATCTTTATCCTAATTTAAATCGAAGTTTACTTAAAATTAGTTTTTTATTGAAATTTATGTCAACTTTGCATGTTTAGAAAGAAAGCTCCTTTTGGTTTTAAGATTAAAATTATTACAAAGTTTATTTTACAAACTTAAGTTAGCTAAAAATAATTTTACAAACTTTAGTATTTTTACTAACTTAAATTAAAGTTTATTTTTACAGACTTAAGTTTTAAAAAGTATTTTTACAAACTTTACAAACTTAAATTAAAGTTTATTTTTACAGACTTAAGTTTTAAAAAGTATTTTTACAAACTTAAGTTCATTTTACATACTCTACAAACTTAAAGTTTGTTTTATCAAACTTAAGCTTGTTCATTTTCACGGACTTAAGTTTTCGGAATACTATAAAAACCTTGAACTTTAAGTATTCTCTCATTTGTTTATTGCTTAATTAAATTAAATTGTTTAGGTAAGCTTCTTTAACTGCAAGTCTGCCAACGCCGTTTATTTGTTTTGCCGTCAATGCATGAATATGCTCAATTGGATCGCTCATTTTGAACTTCTCAATAGGGACTACCTCAACTTAGCAAACTGCTCGCATTAATAGGCAAAAAAGAAAACAAGGTGTTTTACAGCACGTCAAAAACATTGGCCAATATCAACAGTGTTTATTTTTTAATGCGACTTGATGATCTTCGTGTGAGAAATCCAGAAGATGGTGTATCTGTTCTGAATACAAACGAAGAGAGAGGAGAAAGAAGTAACTACTGCTCTTGAGTGTAAGCAGTCCTGTCTAGGTCCCCGTATGAAGCAAGCTGTCAGTAATGTACGCAGATCGTCTGCTGTTCGGCAAACCAAATCTTGTGGAGACTTGCCCAATTTGGTGAATTTGGAGGACGACAATTCTTATGGTACGGAACAGATTTTAAAACCTCTGACTGATAACTTAAAACACTTTTTAGGTGAATACGAGGACAAAGAGGACGGGACAAACAACAACTATTCAAGTAGTTCTTCAAACGATGCAGACGTGTCTCATCTTGTGACGAAGAGGAGGATGGCTCTTTCTACTTGTAGCTGGGATAGTTATGGTGTGTTTGTAAGCTGATTAAATCGAAAACTTGTTCGATTTCTAGATCATTCTTCTTGCTCCGAATGTGTTTCTTATTCGTCTTATTTGGACTTCACAAGATGAGTCTTCACAAGATGAGTATTTTATGGCAACAAACGAACTGTCGTCCAATTCGTCGGAAATGTATTTCTCTGATGCAGTCTCTGAAGAAAAGGTAGATTTGTTAAAATAAACTTGAACGTAAACTTAAGTTTACAGACTTGAAAAATATTCAAGTTTGAACTTGAAAGACAAACTTAATAAAGTTGAAAATAAATTTTGAGAGAAACTTAAGTTTACAAGCTTAAAAAACTTGATAATTAACTAACTCTTTTTAAATATTAGGTGGCCAGGAACAGTTTCTAAACAACTTATTCTTCGATTATCGTCTACTTGTATGTCAAACAATGAGGAAAGGAAGAACAACAATAAAAGCAACAAAAAGAGGAAATGAACAAAAGTAATGGAACTGATTGTGAAAATGAAGGATTAAATGATGATGATAAACCATCTTCTGGATTTCTGACACGAAGATCGTCAAGTCTCATTAAGGAATAAACACTTGTTATTTGGCCAAGGCTTTTGACGTGCTGTAAAACACCTTGTTTTCTTTTTTAACTTATTATTGCGAAAAGCCTGCCAAGTTGAGGTAGTCCTCTTTGGGAAGTTCAAAATTTGCGATCCAAGTGAGCTTATTCATGAATTGACGCCAAAACAAATAAAGCGGCATCGGCATCCTTGCAACTTTATTTTAAATTACCTATATTTATATTTAAAAACAAATTTAAAAGAACATGGCTGAAAAACGTATTGATGAGACGGAGTTCAAGAAGGTATGTTTAGAATAATATTTTAAAATAAATTTCAAATATTTTTTAGACTGTAAACCTTCTTCAAGGATATATTAAAAATGTTAAAGAAGAAGCAAGTGCCATTGAGAAGAGTGGCAAAAATCTCCATAATTATGCTTCAAAAATAGAAGAATCTTTGAAGTTATTGATGAAAGAAAAAGAGGACAAATTAACAAACAAATTACATCTTCACAAATTTTTGAAAAATGTTTCTTTGACGGCCGATGGAACAACAGTTTATATCAAAGGTATCTTAAGAATTTGTTTAAATTTACCGAAATTTTTAATTTAAGGTTTTAGCAATATGATGACTTTTGGAGCCGAAAAACCATTATCAAAAGAAAATGGGATGTATTTTGAAGTTGAATTTACAAACTTCAAGTGAGTTTGAAATTGTTTGAAATTTCTTAAATATATTTACTCAATTATTTCCCCAACTAGTCCCTAAAAATTGTTTGAAGTTCCCTTCAGAATGTCGATTTGGAGTTTTTCAGATTTGACTTGAAATGATATCTTAGTAATTATTAGGATCCAAACGCTAAGAAAACTGAAATTTTTTCTTTGATTGAAAATTTTCAGAGATTTTAAATTTTATTAACATTAATTTTGCTCATTTTTAATAATAATTTTAAATTATAGATCTGCAGGTATAGGCCTTTCAACGAAGGAGTTTGATTTCAATTCAAATGATGCGGTGGGACAGGCTCCAAAGAGCTATGGATTTTCTAATAAGGGTACCTATTGGTCAGCGGCAAGTAAATTTAAGAATTTTGATTTAATTGGGTTTACAATTGGTGACACAGTTGGTTGTGGTCTGCAGTTTGATGAAAGTACCAAAAAGCATTTTATTTATTTTACAAGAAATTCTACTTTTATTGGTTAGTTTTAATACATATAAAAATGTATAAAATTTAACTTTGAAAATTATAGGCGTTAAGCAATATGTTAACGTGTTCAATGGAGTTTTTCCAACAATTAGCTTATCTGGTTCTAATGCTGCTGCAAAAGTGAATTTTGGAAAAACATATTTTATGTATAAACAATAAGAATTTCTAAGATTAAGATTTTTTTGAAAATACAAAATTGTTTGCGCATGATTTGTGTATGTATAAAGTTATTAGAGCTAACTTCGATTAATTTAAAGTTTTAGAATTTTCCGGTAATTTATTCCTGAAACCATTCCGAAATTCCGGAAAAATTTTTTTCGATTTTCCGAAAATTTTTTACTGAAACTATTTTTCTGCATTTTCCGGAAATTTTTCCGGATAACGAAGACCCTTAAATAAATTAAATTATTTTTAATTACCGTATTTTGATTACCATATCCATGGTATACAAACTTACAACAAAAATAATAACAACAAAATTTATTTCTCATAAAAAACATTGTTTAAAAACAAATAGGGTTTTTCCGGAAATGTTTTCCGGAACGATTTTTAGCAGTTTCCGGAAATATTTTCCGGAACAATTTTTAGATTTTCCGAAATGTTTTCCGGAACAATTTTTAGCATTTTCCGGAAATGTTTTCCGGAACAATTTTTAGCATTTTCCGGAAATGTTTTCCGGAACAATTTTTGCATTTTCCGGAAATGTTTTCCGGAACGATTTTTAGCAGTTTCCGGAAATGCTTTCCGGAACAATTTTTAGCATTTTCCGGAAATGTTTTCCGGAACAATTTTTAGCATTTTCCGGAAATGCTTTCCGGAACAATTTTTAGCATTTTCCGGAAATGTTTTCCGGAACGATTTTTAGCTTTTCCGGAAATGTTTTCCGGAACGATTTTTAGCAGTTTACGGAAATGCTTTCCGGAACAATTTTTAGCATTTTCCGGAAATGTTTTCCGGAACAATTTTTAGCATTTTCCGGTAATGTTTTCCGGAACAATTTTTAGCATTTTCCGGAAATGTTTTCCGGAACGATTTTTAGCTTTTCCGGAAATGTTTTCCGGAACGATTTTTAGCTTTTCCGGAAATGTTTTCCGGAACGATTTTTAGCATTTTCCGGAAATGTTTTCCGGAACAATTTTTAGATTTTCCGAAATGTTTTCCGGAACGATTTTTAGCTTTTCCGGAAATGTTTTCCGGAACGATTTTTAGCTTTTCCGGAAATGTTTTCCGGAACAATTTTTAGATTTTCCGAAATGTTTTCCGGAACGATTTTTAGCTTTTCCGGAAATGTTTTCCGGAACGATTTTTAGCTTTTCCGGAAATGTTTTCCGGAACAATTTTTAGATTTTCCGAAATGTTTTCCGGAACGATTTTTAGCTTTTCCGGAAATGTTTTCCGGAACGATTTTTAGCTTTTCCGGAAATGTTTTCCGGAACAATTTTTAGATTTTCCGAAATGTTTTCCGGAACGATTTTTAGCTTTTCCGGAAATGTTTTCCGGAACGATTTTTAGCTTTTCCGGAAAGAATCTTATATTTGCAAAAATAAATTTAAGGTGTTTCAAAATAAATGTGTTTAATTTCTGGCTGTGAAAGATTGTAAGGCCTGAGAAATTTCTTCGAAATAAAGTAAAGAGGAAAACGAGTAGATGGTGGTATAGTTGAGTAAATCATTTTGTTTTTGATAAGTTACGGATTTCAGAAGGTTGTTAAAAAATTTAAAATAATCAAGATTAAGATACACAAAATTTTATCATTTTAAAAATTCCATCTCGATACATAAATTTGAATTAATGCTAAGTTGTGGGCAATAGAAACACCTTTTCTTGACATTACATTTATGTTTAGTTGTATCTTCTCCGTACGAGGTCCCTTTATAGGTTTTGAAAGGTAGAGAATACCTTAAAAATTAATAAATTGTTAAGTAATATTTTTCGGCAATAAACTTAATTTAATAAACTCGAGTTTTAGAAATAAACTTAGATTTAATTCTGAAAGATCAAACTTAAGTAAATAAACTCAAGTTTTAAAAATATACTCAAGTCTGTAAAAATAAACCTAGTTTTAAGTTTGTAAGGATAGACCTAAACTTAAGTTTGTAAAAATATTTTTAAACAAACTTAAAAAATAATCCTGTTTTATAAATAACTTAAGTTTTTAAGTTCATATTTTAAAAATAAACTTAAGTTTGTAAAAATAAGCTTAAACTTAAGTCTGTAGAATAAACTTAAACTTAAGTTTATTAAAAAGTAATTTATAACCTTAAGTCTATAAAAATAAACCTAAGTTTAATAAACTTGAATTTTAATAAACTTGTTGTAAAAACTTAAAATTCTTACCAACATTTCCTTGTTGTTCAACAAAAAAATCTTTGGCATTTTCTCCATTAATTATATATTCAATATTAAATACTATATTATTTATTTTTGTTGTTATTCGAGATATCTATTAAATCATTTGATAATTTTTTCATTTATTTAATTACCTCAATCGGCTTTTTCAAAAATTTCATTGACGGGACAGTTCTAAATTGGTAGAGAATCTCCCTTGTATAATTGCTAAGGCAGATAGCATCATTGGGATGACAATTTTTTATACAAGAATAGCCATCTTCTACTTGACTTAAATTATTTTTAAATTAATTTTGAAAATTTTTAAATATTATTTTTACTTATCCTTACCAAAGTTTTGGTGTGACTTTGGGAATTTATTAGGAAACTTAAGTTTGTAAATAAACAAGTTTATTTGTAATAAACTTAAGTCTATTCTGTAAATTAAACTTAAGTCTGTAAAATAAACTTAAGTGTGTAGAATAGACTTGTATTTAGGAATAACCTTAAGTCTTTCTGATTCTGTCCTATCATGGCTTAAAACCAGAATATTCTTAAATCATAAAAACAAAGGGAGCCTTCTTTTTAATTAGAGTAAAGTTTGTTATTGTTATCTTATGTTAATAAAATTTATACAGTTTAAAAAAAAGCTAGCATTTTATTTACTATATTAAAAGATTAGTTATTAATTAATAACACACAAATATTTAAAACAGCACAAAAAACAAAGGAATGTTAACTAAACTTAAAATATTAAAAAAACGAGATCTAAAATTTTTTCCAACTTTTTTTCCAATATTCAAAGTCTACGGATTCTGTGTAAACGGCTATGTTGTGTTTGGGGACGATATTGTGAAACAAAGACCTAAATTAATTTTTGTAATTTATTTAAATTTTAAAATTAATCAAAATACGGGAGGAACTCCTTTTTTAGAGAGCCACGATACCAGATACACCCTTATTTAAAAATTGTAGATGGCTACTAGGTGGATAGGGCTACCTAAGAGATACGCCTTAAGTAAGGAAACCCTACTTTTACGTTAGGGTTTCGGCTTCAAGGTCCTATCAAAGATGAGGATTGACTTATTTTAATCCAAATTATTTATTTTCTAAATTAAAAAAATTTTACAAGCAAATTAGCAACATATTTTCCATTAAATTGCCCATTAGTTGTTAACCGAAGGGTTAATTCTAAATGAACTTCTTGAGGACCATCCAACGAATCTCTTAATGCAATTATTGCCGAATTGTGATCCTCTCCTTTAAAATATAGTGAAAATAAGTAAAATAAATAAACTCCAAGCAAACCCTTTTGAAGCAAAAAATTTGCTCGTATTGCGGGAGTAACTGAATCAGAGCCTAAAATATATAATTTAAAAAGTATGGGTATTTAACTTCTTTCGGATGACATATTTTTCAAATTGAGTGGCATAAAGACATGATATTAAGTATTAAATTCAGATTAGGATTTGAAAAAAGCCACATTCATTCTAAAGTAAAGCAGCAAAGCCCATCCCAGAAAATAATAAAGAATTGGATGGGATGGATGGGACTTGATCATGAGAGCTATCCGACCCACCACCTACATTTTTAGGCTTAATAAGACGCCTATTAAAGAGTTTTATAGGAAGGCTTTTTAAAAGAGAGATCTTCATAAGAGAAAAGTGTCACAGAGGAGTATACTTGAACTATTGAAAGAATCATCTTAAAAATAAATTTAAGTCCACCTTGTTTGGCACTAACCAAACGAAGTTCAAATTGCATTGAAGAATCTTGATTGGGAGGGCCCTATAGAGAAATAAAAAATTTTTTTAAATAAATTTTTTTATTAACCTTCATAGAGAAAAGTGTCACAGAAGTTCTGTGAAGAGAAATATTCACTTGCTTTTGGAAAAAAAATTAGAAAAAAATCTTCAAAAATAGATACTTTAGGTATAGCAATATGTTGCCATGAGATATGTATAGGCAATTTTTTGCATCTTTCCAGAAACATATTTTCGCAGTGTCCTGGTTTTTTCAAGCAACGACTTTTTATTTTAAATTTTATAAATCAGAAAAGAATGTTAAAAATTTAAAAAATGTTTTATAGGTTAACTAAATTAACTTAGAAATTAGTAAGAAAAGCAAAAATAAATTAGTAGGTTAGTAAAGTTAGGTAAAAAATCTGTGACCACGCCTGTTACTTTATCCAAAATATGGGGATCTCGTCTTATAGGAGACAGAGTTACGAAATTTGCTTGTACTCGTACTGAAATTTGCTTGTACTCGTACTCGAAATACAGGCACGAATATAAAACACTAATTGGTGGAGAGTTCCCGGAATTGAGAGGCAAACGGAAGGGAAATAATGCCGTTTAAGGCTGACTCACTTTTTCATTTATTCTTAGCATTGTTGGTTTCTTTTGGGATTTTACTTGTTCGCGGAAAATGGGGGCATTAAACGGCATTAAAAATTCTCCCAGGAACTTTTAAGTTACTTGTTAAAAGTTAAAAAATATGCATTTTACTTTTTAAAAGTCCTGTCAGGAATATAATTACGTGGACATTCAATCCGTTCACACTTAAAGCTGCCCAATAAATTAATACAGATTTGGTCGATATTACACAGATTTGAATTTTCTGAACATTCATCAATATCTGTAAATAAATTTTGATTGTTAAATAATTAGATTACTGTAGAAGAGGAGAACTATCAATTCGTTGTATAAAAAAGTCCGCAAAATAAAAAATAATCCGCAAAAAATTTGCGGATTATCCGCAAAAATTTTTGCGGATATGTTGCCCTCTACAACAGTAATGCCCAACAATTCAAAAATTTTATTTACCTTTACAGGTAATTCCATCAGACATGACTTGATAACCTTCTGGGCATGTACAAAGAAACGACCCTGGAGTATTTATACATTTTCCCATACATAATTCATTTCCTATAAATGTTAATTATTTTAAGTAAAATATCAAGTCCTCAAATGTTTGTCCGCAAAAATATTTTTTTAATTTTTCGTCCGCATTTTTTTTTGAATTCAAAATCTACCAACCCGACTTGGCCCAAATTTTGCATTCATCAATATCTTCACATGTGGCTTCGTCTATTCCCAATTGATACCCTAAAAATATTCTCTGGTCTTATGTATCTCAGGAAATTATTACCTCGATCGCAAATGCATTGATAAGAGCCTGGTGAGTTAATACATTTTTGTTGACATTTGGCTATACCCAACTCACATTCGTTTATATCTTAAAATTAAATAAATATGTCCGCAAGAAAAGTCCGCAAAAACTGTCCGCAAAATATGTCCGCAAATTTAATTCATTTAATTTCCCCTACCATCACAACTTCTATTATCTGCAGCTAAACTAAATCCAGGCTTGCATATACATTGATAAGAGCCAATAGAATTAACACAATCGGCTTGTAAAGAGCAGGCATGTCCAGAAAATTTAATACATTCGTCAATGTCTTCGCAACGCCTTAATGGGGAAAAATGCTTTTTTAAAGTTAAACGGGTGCAGGCAATTTCCAAATGTTTTTACATTGTATATTCATTAAATTCAAAGCCTGTAGCACACTTGCAACGATACATTCCTGGAAGATTGATGCAATCAGCAATGGATGTGCAAGTATGTGTTCCACGTTGGCATTCATCAATATCTTCACAAATAGATTAACAATAAAATTTCTAAGGACAAACCAAGACAAAATCCACTCTCTCTGTCCATATAATATCCATTAGAACACACATTCCCCTGCTCTTGACAGCGAAACGAGCCTGGTGTATTTACACCTTTTAAGGAATAAAGATGAATACAAATAAATTTTCGTCTTTATGTGCTATCCGGGTTTAAAAATTTGGAAGGTCTGGGATATTGCAGTTCTGGTACTCAAAAAAACTGGGTCCTCTGTTTCACGGTTTCTGTTTTTCCACGTTTTGACAGTTCCGAGAAGATACATATGGACGAACATTTTAGTTTTGTAATTTTCTTGAGGAAAGAAAGCCAGGAAAAGAAGCTCTTCTAAAGCTCTCCTTAAAGCTAGTAAAGAAGGGCGGATTTTTCGTCCACCACAAAACCAAAAGTTCCCCACATTTATGATTCTGAGGTTCCTGGGAACTTTTAAAACCGGAACATTGTTTTCCGGCAATCCTTCCTAAACTGGGACAACACTTTAAATACAACTTACATTCCTCATAAAAAGGACAAGCATTAGTCTTTTCCCTACATTCATCAACATCCTCACAACGTCCATCTCTAGGCCTATATCCAGGTGGACAATTTACTGACTACAAAAAAATATTTAAATTTTTATTTTTCAAAAAATACTTTGCATTCCCCAGTTCCAGGGTCCAAAACTTGATTATCTTCACAACGCTTAGGCACACAACGAAAGCTTCCCTGAGTATTTTTACATTGATACATAGGTCCACAATCGTGTGCTCCAAGTGTGCATTCATCCACATCTGATAGTATATAAAATCATGATTTTATTGAAAGAATTTTTGGCAATTAAAGTAAAGCCTAGAAATTAATCCTAATTATTCCCTAATAAAACATCAAAGCTTTCAAAACTCTATCGCAAATTTAGGAAAAAATCCGTACTGAATTACCGAAAAAGACTGATAAACTCAAAAATTTTATCGGTCGGTATTCAGTACCGTAATACCGATAAATACCGAAAAATACCGTCTAATACGGTAACATCCGAGCTCTAGTTAAAAGGATCCATTCTTTTATCTCTAGTCTAATTTTGTTAATTTTCAACGTTCTACTCATGAGGTGTGAGAGTTTAAAATAAAGGGAGCGTACAATTAGAGGAAATACGTTAATAAATACTTCCTATTTGAAATTTTACTTTTAATAAAATCCGTAAATAAATTAGTAAATCACAACAAATAAAAATTTTGTTAAAATATTAATGAATTTTTCCCAAACAAAATTTCCATAAATAACCTACCAACACACTGTTCAGTTTCACTATCCATTGCATAACCAGTTCCACCCGAAAATTAGGATTTATTTATTTTTAAAATTTTTTTAGTCTTACAAGACTTTGTTCTAATACATTTGTAAGCTCCAGGCTGTTAAACAAAATTTTTAAAAATAAAAAAAATAGTTGTTAGTTACTGTATTTAAACAACGTTGGGATTCTAAACAATCATCAACCAACAAAAGACATTCGTCAATATCTGAGGGGATTTTTTTAATTGTTATTTTAAATAATAAAAAGTTTTTGCATTGGTTTAAGCAGGATTACGAAAATTAAAAAAAAGGGAACATCCGGGAAACGAAAGTGGATTCAAGAGGGGAAAGTGGGTAGGAAGGGGAAAGTGGGTAAAATGGGAAGGAACACAATCCAAAAACTTCCAAAATTTGGACAATGGAATTAAAACTAGAAACTGGATGGGAGTGTCGTACGAGAATCGAGAGCGAGAGCTTGATAAATCTCAAAAAAATTTTCGTACGAGAATCTCGATTTTCGATCGAGATCTCGTCTCGGTTTGGTCTCTAATTAAAACCAAAAAAGTAAAAAACCTTCAACATTTTAGGAGTTAAACCCTAGAATAATTTTTAAAAAATTTTCAAGGGGTATGAAACACGAAAAATGAATCTCTCTTTTTTATTTAAGCAAAATTAGGGAAGATTAATTAACGAAATTTTTGCGTAACAGGAAAGTTAGGTAAGCAAAACAAACAAACCAACACAAACATTCCCGGCATCACTCCAATAAAATCCAGTAGAACAAACACAAGAAAACGTTCCTTGTAAATTCAGGCATTGAGTATTAAATTCAGAACAGAGGGCAAATCCGTGACTGAGACATTCGTCGATGTCTTTTAGGGAATAACAAAGGGATTAGTTTAAAAATTAATTAAGGGGGGGGGGGGTGATTAGAAGAAAAGCAAAGAACAAAGCAGAAAATTAGAAAAAATAAAAATAACAAGAAGTTTAAACAAAATTTTTTTTTAAATTATCCGTACACAAGTACGTATCCGCAAATGCTGTTTAATCACGGAACATTTTTCGCGAAAAATGCAAGGTAAATCGCCTGAGGGACTTGAGAAGACTCTTACGCAGGCGAAAGGTCATTAAAATATGTAGAACCTCACACTAGGATACTCGCAATATTGGATAATAAGGTCTGGACCTTTATTTGAAAAATATTAGATAAAAGATAGACCTCCCTTTAAGAGACGTTTTTAAATTTGGGTTGGTCTTGGGTTGAAGAGCTGCTTATTATGTACAAAAATACTCCTCATTCTAAGGTACAATTTTCCAGCCCTAAAGGATGTATCTAGCTGATGTGAGACTTTATTAAGTGCTTAATTTTTATTTTATTCTTCAGCAACCACAAACCAATAAAAGTAGTCGATGCATGTTCCTCCCTTCCTCCTCCATTTCGACCTGACCAGAATGCAGGCATTTTTCCTCTATTGCCAACAGTTTTGTAGACAAATCTGCCATTATTTTTGGCCCTTTGTGGACCTCTTTTTGGAGTTTTTGGGCTCAATTTTGGCTCCCTAGATTTTGAAGTAGCAATACTTTTAGCAGGCCGGCACCCATATCCGCCAACTATGTTAACACATATTTCGCGTTTGAAATCGCATAAAGGCATTTTTTGATAGTTTAAGGGAGGTGAATTGAATTGGAAATTATTTGGGCTGTTCTGCTGTAGTTGGTGACATTCGTCAATATCTGTGTTATCATAAGAACGAATACGAATAAAATGAATATAGAGCTAAGGAAAGGATGAATATTTGGGGTATAAAAATTTTTTTAGAGAAAATAGAAATGTGGAAATGAAGGGAATGAAGGGAGAAAAGCAGATGTATGAGATTGAGTTGATTAACAATTCAATAATCAACATACCGACACACGAACGGCCATCGGGTGCTAAATCAAAACCTGAACGACAACTACACTGGGAAGTACCCTAAAAATAAAAATTTAAATTAGAGACCGGACCGTGAGAGACGTAGAAGAATCTCAAAATTTCGTAAATCTGCAGGCTATTTTTAGGGTAAATAAAAATTTTAAACTTGCATCTTCTCGAATGGTACACAAATGTTCGCATTTTGCATTTGAACAGCTCGAGGCTGAATAAAATTAAAATGTCACCTTTTTTGAATGATTTTAATTTAAACTACCATTCCCGTCACCTTCAAGATCAATTGAAAGACCTACGCTTTGAACTTGAGAGGAACCTATTTACGAGAAAATTATTTGTTCAAATTTTTAAATAATAACCAATAAAGGAAGGTTTATTAGCTGGTATTGTTTGATTACAACATTTATTAAAAGCCTCCAAGCAATCAGGGCTAAATCCGATTGGAGCGATACATGCTTCGTTACGTTCAGACAATTCTTTCGCAAGTAGACAACAATCACAACATTCCTAAAATAAGAAAAGCTCTACAAGTGTCGAGTTATCTATTGAAGTATAAACGGATCTCACGATGGAACCAATCCGTGTTAGGATACATTTTTAGGAAGATTTTTAGGGAGTTTTAAGGGGAGTTTTATAGAGGGATTTCTAGCACTACAAATAATGGATTCACTCTGAGGTTACACAAAACCTGAGTTTATTGGTGGAAGGTTATCGCAAACAATCAGGGCTATTGGAGCTACCTATTGGAGTAGATTTGAGCTGCCTAAGCCTTACTGCCAAATTGGAGCTACCTCAGCTTTGGAGCCGATTGGAGCTAACTTAGCTTTATTGCCAAACAATTGTTATTTTTTTAATTTGCGTGTGAGATTAAAGGATGTATCTTTAAGTGAAGTCCGCTTGTGTTTATTTTTATTATCTGCTCACCCTTTTAACCCCACCAGCTAGCTCATTCATATTCACAGCAGAACAAACTTTATGCCTCTGTGCGTATAGAAGACCGGCTTGACAGGAGGCGTCAATTAATGAACGGAGACAACAAATTGAACCTGCTCTATTGCAGGAATGGGAAGAACCAACTTGAAGGGGTTGAAAAAAATTTTTTTTTATAAAAATTTCTAATAAACCAGCTCTAACAGAAACACAATTTCCATGTTCTTTAAAGTGTTTAGAACCGCCGGAGCAACAACGGGAAAGTTCATTGGATGCTGTAAAATGAGGAAGGAGGAGGAGACTAAGGCCTGGATTAAATTTTGAAATTTTTTTTAATTTTGAAAATTTAAAAACCGAGAAGAAGGGAATAATGAAGAGACATTGAAGCTTTTTTAAATTTTTATTGAATCAGGAAAAATTCATTTAAATTCATTTTAGGGAGAAAGGAAGGTATGCATTTTAAATAAAAAATAAATTGTGTCTGAAAATGTGTCTGAAGCTTTAAGAAAAAATTTTTTGGAGGAATTTGCTGATAAAAAAGAAAATTAAGATAATTAAGGATTAATTAAAAACAAAAACAAAAAAACAAAACAATCAGACAGACAATCCTCTTGTTTTTCTTCAAGAGTTTCAACATACCTTGATACATTTTTCTTACATTTCCCGTTCTAATATACAAAATATAAAATATTTGAGTAAAAATAATTATTGATAAGACTAACAAAAATTGATAAAAATTAAAAATGAGAGTGAAGGGAATGATTAGAGATAATGGAAAGAATGATTGATAGAAAGTAAATTGAATTGAATATATTAGTTAGAACTGTATTAGATGTACTGAGATTGATCCAAATTAATTTAAAAATTAAATTTTAAATTTAGTAAAGCAGCTGGGCTATAGCTATTTCTCTCCTTCAACTAGTGCAAGGGGTTATTCGGCGGCTTGAAGCAAACCAGCATCTTCAGTAGACCGGACTGATGTGTTAGCCATTACACCATGCCGCCTACTGCACGGCTTTAGGAATGAATAGCTATATGCTTTACAATTTTAACATTCATCTACTTTTAAATTTGTCCAAAATTTGATAATTTTCAATTTAGGTTTTATCTAATTTTCAATTTGATTGGCCACTAAATGGGGGGGGACAACATAAGCTATGTATTCCAGCACTTAAGTTTACAACCTGAAAAGATTTTTTAATTATATGATTTAGGATTGAACTTGAAAACTTGGATGAAATCTACAAAAGTAAATTTGGGCAACTTAACAATAGAGAGAGTAAAGCAGCTGGGCTATAGCTATTTCTCTCCTTTAGCTAGAGCAAAAGGTTATTCGGCGGCTGGGAGCGAACCAGCATCTTCAGTAGACCGGACTGATGTGTTAGCCATTACACCACGCCGCCTACTGCTCAGCCTTAGGAAATTAATATGCTTTACAAGAGCGAGATTTTCAAAAAACCTTGACCTTGATCCGTGACCTTGATTTAGGCTAGGTACCTTGACCAGACTCTTGACCTTGAGTCAAGGAAAAATCAAAATACTCTGAAAAATGCCTTGATCTGCCCTTTAGATCCAGGAAAAATCAAGGTCTGGATCCAGATCCAGCTCGCTCTCTACTTAACAAACTTGAATACACCTCATTATGCAGCCTAGAGGGTATCAAAAAGTGAGAGGCGATTGTAACTAATTTGACATTTATTTGAGGAAGTGATTTTTAGAAGACTGAATTAAAAAAATTTTAAATCAATAGAAATAAAATATTAAAAAGCATATCAGGTTTCCTTGCAAATATTTAAGAATATTACGAGAATAGCCATGAGTAAAATAAAAAAAGTAAAAATATCAATTTCTTAAATGAGTCGGCAAGTTTTGCTTTAAGAGAAGAAAAAACAAAGTTTAATCCTTGATCACAAAAACTTAAGTTTACAAACTTATAAAATGTTTAAGCGTAAAAGTTAAGCTTGAGCTTAAACTTGGAATTTGTATAGTAATTAAAACAAAATTAAACTTAACCAACTTAATAAGCTTGAACTAGCAAAAACAAGTGGACAGACAACATAAGTTTGCAAACTTGAAAAGATCTTTTAATTATGTGATTTAAGTTTGAACTTGAAAACTTAACGAAGCTACAAAACTAAAGTTGACCAACATAACAAACTTGTCTAAAAATAGATGAATGAACCTAAGTTTTAGTGATGCTCGGGAGAAGAAAAAACCCGGGAATTGGGAAACGGGAGTCGGGTCGGGAAATGACCTCGGGAGTCGGGATCGGGAGTCGGGAATTAGCAATAAAAAAATTTTTGGCGCCTTCGGCGCCAAAAATTTCTGATATTTTGCATCGTGGGTGAAAATATTGAAAATTTTGGAATGTAAAGAAGCTAGACATCTTCCTTACTTAGCGCCGTAGGCGAAAATTTTGAGAACTTTTAGGTCAAGAAGCCAGATTTCTTCCATTTTTTGCGCTGGAGGCAAAAATTTTGAGAACTTTGGAGGTGAAAAATAATACTAAATTTAAATCGTTCTCACGAGAAAAAAAGAGGTTAATCATAATCATCGTCTCAGACTCCGATAAAATTGTCGGAAATCCTCGGATATTCAAATCCGATATCCTAACCGAAAATTTTGGACACCCGTGTCCAGAACAGAAGGTTATATTTTTAAAATTTTTGAGAGTGGCACTGAAAATTTGACTCCATTGGAGTGAAATAGAGGAGAAAAGAGTGACACAGAGAAAAATATTTTTACGTTCAATTTTGATGGAATTTTAGTGATTTAGCCACATATCTCTTCATATCCCCTCTATAGTATTAACACCCCCTATGCAACATTAATCACTCAAATCCATTGATATCTCTCTTTATTACTGCAAATCCCTTATCTCTTCAGATTCACCATAATCCTAGTAAATTACAGAAATCTTCTACATATACTACAACTCCACAGCTTCTTCCCTTTTCAGCGCCGCAGGCGAAAATTTTGGGAATTTTGGAAGACCAAGTGGCCAGATTTCTTCATTTTTTATAAATAAAAATATAATTTTGCCAGAAAAAGTCATTCTTAGGGGTGTAAAAATTTCCCGACTTAGTCGGGAATTGACATCGGGAGTCGGGATCGGGATCGGGAGGCCAAAAACTCGGGAAATTTTCCCGAGTCGGGAGTCGGGATCGGGATACCCGAGCATCACTACTAAGTTTACAAACTTAAAAAAAGTTTAATAAAAGAGTTTCTGCTATAAAAGCTGCCACTTTTTTCCATTCACAACAGCTTCTACAAAACAATCTTCACATCTCTACGATCAAAACATTAGCAACAACGTTCTTCATGCTCGTTCGCTGCCTTCTTCCAATGGAGCTCGAAACCGGCCCTGGAACAAAGAAGTCATCAACGCTGTGCTCCTTTCTGCTCGTCATCGCAACATTCCTTGTGCTTGAAGTACCCGGACAGTCCAACAATGACGGAAGCGTCGGAGTCGCCAATCACAAATTGATTGGCAAGAAAGTTACGCTTGTCAACTACACCATCGAGGCTAACGAGACAAACTTCAACTCCGACGAGTACAGGATGCGCATCCCGAATGCATGTGATGTTAAGATCGACAACGATACCATGTAAGCTTGCTTTTTTCAAAGATTTACTTCAGATCAAATTGTTTTCTATTTCAGTGAGCTTCAGTACAACAACAGTGGATGCACAGTGGATCTGCTCATCAAGAACGAAGACTACAACAAAAAGATCAAGTTCAAGGCTGGAGTGAGGAACAAAGGAGGAGAGCTCAAAAGTTGTCTTAAGAATGCCGTCCATGTTAAGTACAGCTCTAATAATATGTAGGTTTTGAATTTTTGAAAAATTTGATTTCTGCCTTTTAGTATGCCCTTCGTCTACAGCAAAAACAACAAGGTCGTCGAAAGGCTCAGCCATGGTCCAATCTATGATCACGAGGATAAATGTAACAAACAACAGTGTGGATTATGTATGCCGTGGACGACTCTCGAAATCTCATGGAGCAAGTCTGGTAGAGATGTCTATGCATACACTCATCTAGGTAAAATAAAACGATTACTGATACATTTATTTACCTTTGTCCTTTCAGTTGGTGAAGTTGAGCTTGGTGAAAAGCTGCGTATAACTCAAGGTGGAAACGAAATAGTAACCTTCGACATGGAGGTTGAAGGCGTAGGCAAATTCAAGATGGGTCCGAACTCATTCAAGGCTTCGAAAAATGTACTCTGCGTTCCAGAGAACAATCCCATCGTCGAACCAGAAACATGGACCATCACAAATGAGAATCTGATAAATAGACGACTACTCGTCTTCAGCATGCTTCCAGTGAATGCGTCTGTTGGAACACATGATGGAACAAAGTTTGCGGGTACACCACCACCCGGACCGCATTGTAATCTCTTCGTTCAATTTGTGAGTTTCTACATTACTTTTCTGTAAAAACCTCATTAAATTTATTTGATTTAGGACAGAAATAACTACGAGCTGCTGTTTGTCTCTCTTCCGCCACAGACAACGACGACAACTATATCGACTACAAAAAGTTCTTCAAAGGATCCGGAAACACCTGAAACTTCAACGTGTGCTCCTTGTCCATCGTCGACTTCAGTAATTACAACAACTACGGCCAAAAACATCTCATCACCAGCGGTTAAGTGTCCAGCGGAGAGTAAGTGCCCGAAAGAATCCAAAGGATGGCTGTTCTATCTGATTTTGGTTGTTGCTATTGTTGAAGGCTTAATCATCATTGGAATCTTGGCATGGTTTACACGGTCCTGGAAGAAGGGGAAACACAGTTGCGAAAAAGAATGTATGACCTGTACCAAGTATGAGCAGTACCTGTACGGCCTGTACTCAGCTGAACCACAAGTTGGGGAGAAGATCAAGACATTTGCGGCATGGAAGGAAGAAGTGAGTTTAGAAATTAAAAAATATTTACTAAAAAAATTATTTTTCCAATTTTTCAGAAAAAGTTGGACGACCCAGGGTCAGTATTCAATTGCGTTCCGATTGAAACATTGGCCGTTGCGATGTGGAATAGGGCAAAGAAGGAGAAGATCAAAGACAAGTTGCAATTCCTCGTAGACGAGTTTGTGAAACATAGGGACAAAGAGATCTACGATCGTGAATATGCTCCGGAATTGACTAAAAAGGGATATGATGGCGTTGGAAGTTTCCAGGAATGGAAGATGGTGAAGGATATTTTTTGAATGTCAACTAGTCAGTTTTATATTTCAGGAAAGGAACATCAATCCGTTCGAAGTGATCGATGGAACAACAACTGCGATTGAATATGGAGAGTCAAAGATCCTTGATAAGCCATTGCTTCCCGGGGCCAGCATTGATGGCAAGAGAAGTATGGTGTAAATTGTATGCCCGGAAGTTCTGAAGGTGACGCTTGAGATGTAAAAATGAGATATTCTGTATATTGTTCCTTTGTTATGTCCCTATATATTGTTCCTTGTCCATATACCCCCATATATTCTTTCTATCGTATGTAATATATATTTTGTTGTTTGTATTTGTAAACAAATTGTTGTTTTGAATTGTTTTATTATTTCGACAATTGGTTCAAGTTTACCTATATTTTGTAAAAATTTAATCCACAAGATGGATACCTTCTTGCAAAAAATAAAAGTTGGTGGTTGTAGATTTGTTACCAAAATGTATTTCAAGATTTGTCCCCGGGTCTTGATTACTTTTCTAAATGCAAGCCTTTTGAACTGAGACCCTTAAGAAAATTTTTTCATCTTCCTGTCTTTAAAATTTAATTTTTATATTTTTTCTGCATTCTCTCTACTTTTCTTTAAATTTATTTTACGAACATTTTCATAATTTTTAACTAAATTTATATTTAAAATAATATATATTAAGTATTCCCCTTATTTAATTTACGTTATAAACCCACGTTGTCTTTTCAACGAAAAATTATTATTTTCTTCTTTATTTGACTCGTATTTATTCTAGAATAATTTTTTAGATAAGTAAAGGGTTTTGACAATTTGTTATTTTTACTATAAAGTCAGGAGAGAATATATTTAATTTTATTACAAATTGTTCCTCCAAATTTCAATGATTTTCCGTTTAAAAGTCATTGTTACCCAAGTCCTATTAAAATTCTATTTGATAATATGGAACAGAAGCATCTTGGAAAGTCTTACAAATTGTGCCTTTATTAGATAATCTGATGAGGGGGTTTATATTCAATGCTGTGGAAAATTCATTGGATGGGAGATTGAATAGAACCATCATGGAAAGGGCTCAGACCGAAGCACAACCGACTGTGCCACCATCTAACCCGTTATTTATTCTCATTTATATTCTTTCTGCAAGTGCAGACACAGCATACCTTAATGGATAAAGGATAAGAATAATCAAAGCATAATCGAATTATCAGCGTGCCTTTGTAGTATCCCCCATCCCCCCAAGTGTCAAGTTTCGGCTAGTTTTCGAGCTCCTTTCTCTGATCCAGTCCCAATTCCACCTATGCCTACATTCTAATCTTCTACATTGAATAAAGTGTTTGTTAAGATTGGCAGGGATCCGAACATAAACAAGACGATTTTTCCAATTTCATCATTTTTATGTACTCCTAAAGAAAATTTTTCCTAAGATTATATCATTTTAAAAAATAATTTAAAGTCTAAAGAAGAGTATAAAAGTGTAAAGTCCAAATACTTCCATAATTACAAATTTTTTGGAAATAATCTATTTAATTAAATTAAGTGTTAAATGACATTTAAACTGATAATAATATAAAGAATATGAAAAAGTATGAATTAAAATTAGAACACACACATTGAAGATATATTTGATTAGAAATATATAAAATTAATTTTAAAGAAAACCAGAGAGAATCTAAAGAAAATCAGAAGAAAAATATACGACGTTTAGAGGTATTGTTTACAGCTAAAAGATATAGTTTCGCTCAACCTGGTTTCTCAGGTTTTGTGAGTTATAGTTGATTTAGCTGTTAAATACTGCCTATTTGTGATCTTCCGGTTCTGTTTCTTCTTTTCTTCCGGGTTCTTCAGCCTTCCATCTTCGTTTATAAATACAGAAGGTCCGAAAGGATTTTTCGGAAAAAAGATTTAAAAGGATCCAACATATCGTAGCCCCCCCCCCCCGCTACTTTAAGGCTCCGATATATGTGATCCTCTTTGTATCCTATATGTGATCCTCTTGTATCCTCTTGGATCTTTTTTCTCTTTTTTTTCAAATACCTGTACATAATTCCTCAAAAATAAACTTTAAAAGGCTTTTACCGATTCACAACAAAAATAAAACATTCCTCAACAATTCAACCAGGAAATAAATAAAAATTCCAAGACAAATCATTTTTCATTTTTATATTACAAAAATATTTCCCTTCTCTCTGTCCATCAAAAAAGAGAAAACGAGGAAAAGGCATTTACCCCCAAACATATTTTTTGTCATAACTATTTATTGGGGTTTCGTTGACAAAATTCATCTACCTTCCTTCTACATCTTTCTTAAGATAATTTTCTTATCTGCGCGTCGGTCACCACAAAAATTATTATAAATAAATATTTTGAAAGAAAAAAGAGGAAAAAAAGGTTTTTGTGTCCATGCTTTTGCAAAACTAGTAAATAAATTTTTTAAATAAAATTTGATTGCATTTGGGGTTATTTTTGAGAAAATTTATTGGCTCTCTTTTAATGCGACAAAATTCGACCAAGCTCGAAGAGCTCTTTCGAATGACAAAAAACCTCAAAATGGTCAGTGAAACGGCAAAAAAGGGGGAGGGCGTGGCCTCAAAGTTTAATTAGTTTATTAAGTTTAATTTATTGTCCATCAATGACCAGAGGGTCTAAAATTTAGTAGGTTAACATTTATGGATTTAATTGGTCCTCAAATGTCTGTCCGTATTTTACTTAGACATGGATCTTAGACATTTTACTTAGAGATTTACTTATTAGACATTAATCAAGCATTTCTTCGTACTTGAAGTCGTTCTCTTTCTTTTAAAATTAAAAAAATATTTTCTTCCATATTCATAATTTTATTCGCTTTCTAATGTTCTCAAATGAACCCAAAATTTAAATGATATGAACCCATACCTGTTAACACAAACCCTCTCCCCATCTCATTATGTTTGTGTTAACTAACAAAATAATTATTTAGATAGTAGCCCACCATGTGCTAACCAATTTTTCCTTTAAATTGGGGTTACTCCCTTCCCCCCCCCCCTTTCCTCGACATGTCGCCTGTAGGGGTTAACGGGGAGCAATATTTCAAATCACAATTTTGTTGACAATATTTTTCCGTCATTGAAAAGAAGCGCAAAAAACGGGTTCCCCCTTTCCCCCTCCCAAATGATATAAAAACAATAAGAAATTAAATTGGAGTATTTATGTCATCCATCATAAAATAGGGGAGAGATTGGAGAGATTGGGAGAAAAAAATAATAATTTTTTGAGTTATCTAACAGTAAACAAGGTATATTTTATTATGGTGCTGAACATCCGAAAGAAATCGCCTCCCCTTTTTTATTACGTGTTGGGTCATTTGGGCGCATGCACATTTCGGCGCAGCCCCAAAATTGAGATAATCTCAAGGTTTATAATTTTGAAAATTTTTTGAGAAATCTCTCGTATCTTAGCTAACTTCTCCAAAAATTTTAGAATTTCCTATCAAGTATTTCAAAAGTTAGAATGATAAAATTCTAAAGAACCCTTCATTTTCCCCTTTAAAATCAACTTTTTAGACCATAACTTTTTAGCTACCAAACCAAAAATTCTGAAATTTTAGGAGAACAAAGATAAGCAAATTTAGAATTATTGGGAAAACTTTCACGATTTTAGAGCAATAATTAATTATTTTATTAATCCGCGCCCCTAACCGCCCTGCGCCTTAACGTCCATTCCTTTCCCCACCTTTGGGTATTTTGTCATCGAAAAAAATTATTTTGAGGGTCATTCGTGTGTGTGGGGTTTCCCCAAATCTAGTTTAAGATAGATGGGAGCCTTCTGGCTAAATGGGAGCCTTCGTTCGATTTATTTTTACCAAAATATTTTTTTATATAAACGATCAAATAGACTACACGATTAATTGTGGTCATTCTAACAACTGTTTTTATATATTTTGACACCTTTTAAATTAAATTTAGAGAATGTATTTAATTAATTTATTTTTCTGGGATTGCATGAGCCACAAAAATGTCTTTTTTTTTCTAATTTTCATTTATACTTTAATTTATTATTAACCCAATTCAAAAGCATCCCCTGAACTCCGAGTTACTTTTTTCAATTTTTATTTAAATTTTCCCTTGTAAATGAGCCCCAGAAGGGCATATATATTTCATGAGCCACAAAAATGTGCCACAAATGAGCCACAAAATATGAGCCACAAAATATGTAGGTATCGTTCCTCGATCCTCAAGTCCTATTTCTTATATTTAGTCTTACAGTAGTAATTGA